GTAAATAAATTTCATAATACCTTTTGCTTGACGAAATTTCCAATCTCTGGCAATTCAACGTTCTTTTTCAACGTATATTTTCATACTAAATTGTCGATGGACAGACAGATCTCCAACATGACCAAGTTTTGTCTGTTCAATATTCGAAATATTGGTACTATAAGAAACCACCTGAATCAATCTTCTGCAGTAGCCACTGTTGTATGCTAGTCTGAATTACTGAAACGCTGTACTAAGGATGCCCAGACGATAAGATTAAAAGATTACAGCGTATTCAGAATACTAAGGCATGGTTTTTGATGTGAAAGCCAAGAGATTGCTAGGTTAGTCCAATTTTAAAGCATGCAGCTGCACTGGTTACCAGTTCGGGATAGTATTTTATTTATAATTTTGTTTAGATGCACCGCTCGAGGGGAATTAGCTGCCTATTCACCTAAGACAATAGAATCAGGAAGCATTTACCAAAGAACTGAAAACACATTTTAAAGATGTTTTCTTAACAATTTGTGCATATTCAAAAAATTACACAACATAGCGAAATCTTGATTTTTTTAAAATTTTTAATTACTATTTTTGCAGTCAAAATTTAATTTCATATGTATATGTAGTTTTGCACCATTCTTTTCATTATATTCAGACTTTAAATAAGTCTATTATTACTTTTATTATAATCATTATTACTATTATCATCATCACCGTTATTATTATTATTATAAATTAGCGATAAAAGGTCGATTGTTGCAGGTGGTTTATGATAAATCAGCTTACGGTGACCTCTTTATGTCTTAAGAAATTCCATGATTTAAATCTGTGATAATTAAGCCCTATACGACAGACATACACCCCATTTCCATAGATTAGATCGACCTACTTTAGATCGACCTAACTCCCTGGGGGTTCACGCTAAATAGCTGTCAGCCGGGCGGACACGAAAGTTAATTACCCCCTTACAGCTTGTAGTAGGCGGGACGGACATTTAAGTTGGATTATCTGAAAGTAATCTAGTGAGACTCCCCGCGGGGATAGATCGATCTAAAATCTATGGGAATAGAGCCATACTGTGATGAACCTATTATTGGATATCACAGGATTTAGAATTCAGGTGGAAAAAGATGAGCATGATGTCGTGTAATATCATTTTCTAACCTGGGACACCAGATTGGGTTATTATTGTTATTATTATTATTATGTTTCTAGCACGGTGATATTTTATTGTTATCATAATCTTCAGAATGAATAATACATGTACATGTACATGACAAGTTTAACTTTGCCTCACATACCAGTATGTAAGTTTTGTATTGATCTTTGTCGATAACTGTACATGTTAAGATATGAATACGTAGCTAAGATTCATTTTTATCGACAAACAATTCAATAATTATACAAGTCATTCGCAACGGATGTATTTGTGGATATACAGGAAAATTTGAACAGTTATACATCTGTGCCCCAGCGTACGTGGATAAGACATTTTCCCACTCCATTGTGGCAAGTGACAGTCGTATTCATTCACCGAATGGAAATGTTACTCTGACATTGTATGGAACTGAACCCTCATTTTACAATTAAAATGGAGGATAACATGAATTCTCACAGCTGCCTATACACCTAAGACAATAGAATCACAGGCAGCATTTAACAAACAGCTGAAAAGACACATTTTAAAGATTTAACATTCAACATATTATTCATATCGAAACCTTGATATTTTACTTTTAATTACTATTTCTGCAGTCAAAAGTTAATTTCACATATATATATATATATATATATATATATATATATATATATATATATATATATATATATATATATATATATATATATCTAAATCCTTCTCATCTATAATCTTTTAAATTTTTGTTGTAAAGTATACTGGACATTATATGGATTTCAGATTTTAAATAAGTCTGTTGTTACTTTTATGATTATTATTAATATTATTATTATCATCATCATTATTATTAATTAGCGATAAAAGGTCGATTGTTGCAGGTGGTTTATGATAAATCGGCTTACGGTGACCTTGTTATGTCTTCAGAAATTCCATGATTTAAATCTGTGATAATTATACGACAGGCATACTTTGATGGACCTATTATTGGATATGACGGGATATATTTTGAGGTGGAAAGAGATGCGCATGACGTTATGTAATATCATTTTCTCACCTGGGACGCCTGATTGAGTTATTATTATTATTATTATTATTATTATTATTATTATTATTATATGTTTCTAGCACTGATATATACATAACTGTTATGCATTCTGCATGAAAAATACATGGCTAGTTTAACCTTACATCACATATGTAACTTTTGTAGATACCTTTGACGATAACTGATAATTAAGGTATGAATATGTAGTCATTTTTATCGACAAGCAATTCTTTAATCATACAAGTCATTCGCAATGGATAAAGGCGTATTCGTGGAAGTTAAACAATGCACAATCATGGATATCCAGGAAAATGTGAACACTTATACATCTGTGCACCAACGCACGTGGATAAGACATTTTCCCATTCCGCGGTGGCAAGTGACGCTCTTATTCATTCACTGAATGGAAAGGATCGTTTGACATTATATGGAACTGAACTCTCATTCTATAATAAAAATGGAGAATATCATGGACTCTCACAAATGCAGTCCTTTTCACTTTTGTGTTGAAGTGAACTCTCAATTCTTAAAATTTGAGCGATTATTGGTTGTACCGGGAAAATATATGGCACTTTAAGTACAGTGTGATGAATAAAAAATGCGTAACAGAGGACGACCACGCGTCGGCTATTTGTCATAGCTAAGGTAGGCCTATAGGATGGGTGATCCAGTGTAACTTAGACATACATTCGTTATTACATCCAAGAGTGTAACAATTCTGAGATCATCTTAAGGAATTAAAGGGAGTTTAATGTATTCGGTTAGTATATCATTCATTTTGTTATCTTATTTAATATATAATATATTTAGTCAGTTATTAATATTTACTTGGATAGTTATTATATAGTTGGATTATATTTTATCTAGCGAAACAACGATGACATGAGACTATCGATTTTAACATTAAGGGGAATTTTCGAATTTTTACAAATTATTTTGGTATGGTTTCATGATTTCGTGGATTCAGTCCAATATTAAAACAATTGTTTCTCTCACAGTTATTAAAAAGGGGCGCTGCAGTGAAGATAAAGATGAAGATAAACAGAGATTTCACCACCAACGATGCGCCGGTCGCAATGTTGTGGTGAATGGCGTTTATTGCACAGGGAGTGTCCGCCCCTTATGTCTCACGCAGCGCATCCCTACTGTATTAAAAATGACAAACAAAAGAGTAAAACTGAATAAGAAAAATGTGTCAGTGCCATAATAAGAGAGTCACAGATTAGCATTTAAAGGGGGAAAGAAGGAAAGAACAATATTAAAAAATATCTGTGCTCTTGGGCCACACATCATAGCATGAAGAGAACAATTATGGGATTCATCCACGAATATCAGAACATCCGAAAAGTTAAAATTGCAATAGTTTAAATTCCATCTTCCTTGAAGTTATATTTTTGGTTTCATGTCGAATGTGTTTCGTTATTTTATATATTTATTTTAGTCTTTTATATCAAATCAATATAGTAAGATGTACTTTGCGTAAGGCTAAAAAATGTTTGAGAAAGGTTATCTATAAGTATATTTCAATTTTAAAGATATCTATGGGACAGGCGTATCATCCCAGGGAGATAATGTAATGTGGGTAATTGATATTCATGAAATGAATAAAGAGCTGGGAGAGTTTTGTTAGATTTATTATTGTGCTTTCATAATGTGTGATGCATAAATGTAACATTAGTTTGGAGAGTAGTAAATAAAGATTGTGCAAGCACAAAAAAAGGTTTTGTAGTTATTTTGCATGTCAATTTATTTTTATATACGTCAATATCATTGTCACACTTGGATTTGATGCCAATATTCAGCTACATGTACATGTACGTAATTAACAACAGAGTACCCGTTCTGAAATACAATACCTGTGGCGAAACGTACTACTCTACCAGTACTCGAGTTGTTTATTAATGTCGGAGCAAGGTAGTTATTGATTAAATCCAACCTCATCCAACACTGATATCAATATTGTTTAGATTCATGTCTATATATCGTTTCACCATTTACAATAATACTCGGTAAACTACCCCGGCTAACTTCCATCTTAATTCTCGTGCATGCAGCTGTACAGGTGTGTTTTGAACTATTGTTTTATAAATTACATGTTTTTAGAGAGTACTACATGTACAATTAACAAAGCAGCAAAGCTGTCAAATGAAACAGGCATTAAAGACAAAATAATGATGCACATAATGGGTTATTCTGTCAATTTTGATGCAATAATACTTATGCTAAACAGCATAATTTTCGAACTCGGTCAATATTTTAATAATATTCATTCCTGTATAACTCTTAAAAAATACTTCAGCCTGTTTCCCACTTAATGTGTTATCTGCATTGCACAAATTAACAAAAAATGGCTGATGCCATGATGGCTTTATATGCTGTGTCTGTACAAAAATGTTTTATTTAATTTACGCTTTTACCAAAGACACTGTCCACTGAGAAATACAGAGTGATTATGAAATACTTTTGTCATGATGAAGAATTTATTTCTAGAATTAAGATAAACAATACAAAATATGATACCGATAGTCTCTTCACAGTAAACATGCTGTAAACAATCAATTTGTAAACAATGAATATAAATTAATACATTAGATAAATATTCAAACAACTAGACACACACATTCATATTGATAAAATTAAAGGAATGACAGATTAATAAATAGTCATTAAAATCAACATTCTTTCCCACGTTCGGGAAATAATTAATGTTGAGGGTGAATTCCACTGTATAACTTCTTAATATTGACAAATTAATTATAAGTTATGCTGATAATCACAGTTAACAATTATTTATTTTTTTTAATTCATTTAATTATCGTTATTCTTTCAATGCTGATGCTAGCCGATGCGTGTTTGTACTATCAAGATTGCCCCATGGTTTCTAGATAATGCCTTCTCCCATCTATGTACATCATGGCCTCTGAAATAATAATAATAATAATAATAATAATAATAATAATAATAATAATAATAATATTTGGCAGAATGAATGAAATCCCAATGCTCTATGCAACATTTATAATTTAGTAAAAGTCAATAAGAGGTTCACACATCACATTGAGCGCAAATCAAAAATGTTCCCTGGTCTGTGTAAGCTACAACTGACAGGGGCGGATCCAGAGATATTTTCTGACAGTCTTCTAAATCGTTTTTGTTAATCCATCCTCCATTTTTGACCGTCTTCCGACAGAAAATATTAGATGCCCGTCAATGTAAACTTTAAAATCTGACCATCTTCCGGAAGACCCTAAAGACGGCCTAAATCCGCCCCTGACTGACATGACAAAACTGTCAGTGAATATTTGATGGTTTTCAGGAAATCTCAGGACAGTGATTAGGATGACACTGGCGCTGTGGACTTCCAGTAAATTTGATTTGATATTTAAAAAAAAAATTGTCAAACATTCAGACTGGTATGCATTAACCTGGAATTCAGGTCTTCATTTTTATGCACAGAAACAATAGTAAATCAGAAAAAGAATCCTCATTAAAAAAATTAGTTAAATACCTAACTTATTCTGATCAATCAATATCTTTGGCATAGGTTACTTTGCTTCATTACACACGTCATATAATTGTGTTAACAAAATCAATTGGCATGGATTCCTAGGACTGCAAACCTCAAATTGAAATTTCCTGTTATAAGTGTGAAAGGATTTGTAGAATTACAGACCAATATTTGATGTAAAATGATACCTGCAAGGCAACTGTCTAACATGATTCTGGATGAATTCTAAGGGACCATTCCCACAGATATTTGGATCGATCTATCTCCCTGGGGAGTCTCACTAAATTGCTATCAGCATAACTGGCTTAAATGTCTGTCACGCCTAGTAAAGCTGTTAGGGGGTAATTATCTTTACCCCCTAGCTTATTCGGCAGGCATCACAGACATTTAAGCAGGTTAGCTGACACCAATTTAGTGAGACTCCCAAGGGAGTAAGACCGATCCAGATGGATCGATTTAGGCATGGGAACCCATTTAAGAATAGCATAATCTGACCTAGATGTCCACATTCACCATAACAATTATTAACTATTCTAAAAACAGCACTGACTGACCTATATACGACTTTGGCATAATTCTTGGCACTTTTGGAATATCGGTTTTAAAAGTGAAGTGAAATACATTGGTTGTTTTATGCTCTGCCTTCAAAGGGTCCACTGTCTCTGCATGGACCTTCATCTGAATACAAGGCCCGTCTGTGTACACGACCTGAAAAAAATTGATATAATATATCTGGGCCCTGTTTAACAAAAAACAAGGCAGCAAAGCTGTCAAATGTANAAAAATCTTATACCCCTGTGTCCATGAGAATGCTATAATACTGTTTGTGATAGGGTAAAATGTGTGCATGTGTCCATGTAATGTTGATAACAAAGATGTTAGCTGGGGAATGGCTTAAGTTTTGGCTGGGGTCTGATAGATTGGGACAAATCTGATGCTGACATAATATTTTTGGCAAGCTGGAAGATCAAGATGGATTTTTCTGCATGATAGATGATGGTCAGATATGGTCTCCTGTAGTGGAATTAATTGGAAATTGAAGTGAAGGACAAGACTGAAAAGTCACGTAAAAAAGCACAAGAATTTTGAAGTACTGAGTATAAGCTGGGGATGGAATGCAGAGGTGCAGAACTTTCTTTTTTCGAGAATAGAGGAGAATCTTTTTTTTAAGGGGAGAAGAGGGGATTTAGAACTCTTTGATCCCCCACTTCTCTCTCTCTCTGTCTCTCTCTCTCTCTCTCTGTACCTGTGAAGACAAATACAGCAAACTCCCCACTTCCACCGGGGCCTGGAACATGATGTCGTCCACTGCTATTACTCTGGGCCGGGTGTGGCTGCGCGCAGGAGGAAAATAATGGAAAAAAGTATATCATCAAATTACATGTCAAGAAGGTATTTCATTCAAACGAGAGGCTTATGCACTTATGCAGTATGGAATGCATGCTAAAATTATAGACGTTTGGACTTAATCTATCCTCACAAATGAGCATTTATTAAATTGTGTGTGTGCATGCATGCAAATACACAACATACACATGCACAATCAAGTGACATTTCTGCTAGTTAATAAAATTTGTTAAAAATGCAAGTGTTCTTATAATACATTTGGCCCTAATTTTACACTTTTTTAAATAACTACCCATTGAGGTAGCCCAAGTTTCAGAATGTTGACCACTGGTCTTATATACCCAGCATATGTACTCTATCACCCTTAGTTTCAGAGTGCTGACTAATGGTCTGTCTATTACCTGTAAACAGAAGCATTGCACCAGGCCAGTTCAAAGGCTCGCCTCATTAAAAATCCCCCAAACATCTTGCCATACAGATTTCTGTTCTGAATTGAAAATGTCTTGTGTTTCATATTAAAACTGCTTTGAACAATACATCATTAATATGCACATTGTTGTTTATATCAAAAAGTAATTTTTTTTAATTTTCAAAATTTAATGGAAATCAAAAATACCAATGTAAGTAACTTAACAAGCTGCCTTCCCAAAGCAAACAAAAAGTCAAGAATGAAACCAATTATGACAGAAAAGTAGACCAAAATAATGCATAAACAAACACAGACAGTTAATGAAAAATTCTTTCTTCTTGCTTTTTTGATTTTAATTATTGACCAATTTTTTGCACATACCTCCCACTGACAAATATGAATATTTTTCAAGATGGCCTCCTCCATCCACATGGACCCCTCTGGCTTCTTGGTCCTCTTGAAGGTACCAGCTCTGAAGTTGGACAAAAAAATTATCTCTACAGTACACAACAATATGATACGATATGATACAATATTGTTACAATACAATATAATTTTACAATACAGTGAAAATACATCGGGATGCAATACAATTCAAATTGCAATGCAATGCATTTCATTTATACAGATGATGTAATTTTCATTGCACTGTATTGCATTATGTCTATTATAGTTTTTATATCTAAATTTTTTTGTCTTGATATTTTCACATTATTTGGGGGATAGAACATTTCTGTCACAACAGCCCCTGACTTTGCCCAAGAATGGATGAGGTGAGACTTCAGTGCATGAAAAGCATCAAACTTACTCTGGATCTATGATTTCCAGAAATAAGCCGTGTACAATATCACCCTCCTCTTGATTGGGAGGGACCTTCATAAGAGATTGGTCCTTCTGTTGCTGTCTTAAAGCCCTCTTAACTGAAAAAGATATGAAAGCAATTAAAATTGATGTACTCCAAGTCCTAAAGTTCCACAGCTCATAGAGACAACAATATATCTGACTAATCAATGACTGAAAAGGAATCGCAGAAAGTGCCCCGAGATTCAGGGTAGTTTACACTTGTCTTTGTACATTGTAGTGTGAATTTTTAAAATAAACTCTTTCAAACTCTTTCAGAGTTAGACATATTGCACCAGAGTCAAATTTGACTGAGAAGTTATGATGCTTGTTTTGACCTGAAAAAAAAAACAAACAAAACAAAACAAAACAAAAAAAAAAACTGGAACATAAAAAAAATTGTTATGACTTAGGCTGCATTCCCAGAGATTTAGATCGATCTATCTGGATCGACCTAACTCCCTGGGGGTTCATGCTAAATTGCTGTCAGCGGAGCGCGCACGACAGTTAATTACCCCCTTACAGCTTTTAGTGGGCGGGACAGACATTTAAGCCTGTTAAGCTGACAACAATCTAGTGAGACTCCCTAGGGGGATAGATCGATCTAAATATCTATTGGAATGGGGTCTAAGAAGAAGCACCATTTTACGCTTCCCAAAAATACAATTACTTTTCAGCTAGTCACACATATTCATGTATAATTATACACTATACAGACATGGTATTTTGCCTACCTTCTCCTTTTTGGAACAATGCCCTTTCTTCATCATTTACTGGTGCTAGAGGATTCACAATGGCTGCCCTAGAAAAAAAAAAAAAAATATATATATATATATATATATATATATATAGTACTGTGCTCTGTATACATCCTTTTTAGCAATTTAAATATGTCACAAACCAAATGGCCGGCAAATTATTTGGCTATGACAACTGGCATTTCCTCAGATAAACATATAACAGACTTGTTATTTAAATATTTCTAATTAATTATTAAAATAAGGTATGCAAAAAAACTGCCCTTTGGACATATTCTGTGGCAAAAAAAAGTATTTTGAATGACTTTTTGGCTCACACACAGTACCATTGCACACTCATATCAATTTCACAAAACCCACTGAAAACACAGTATATTTTACCTTTTACCCATGCTTTTAAAGAGCTTAATTAAGCCAACTGGAGATTTTTCCCATTTGTGAATTCTAAATTCATCAAACAAATGATCCTATTTAAATGTTTTCAGGATAAGGAACGTAATCCTGACCAATTACAGGACACATTTTAATTGGAGACCAAAATGTTTAAAGCTTCAAATATATAATTGTTTCTACATTTCATTTTCTTATTTGTAGATTTTAAATTATAAAGATGCCAATTAGACTTAATTTATATATTAGTCATAAAATGCTAACAAATAACAAAACTGAATTCATCTGTTACAGAAAAAGAAAAAAAGAAAGAAATCCTATTTCACCTTTGAGTTTCAACTGTTACTGACCTTTTATTTAATGGATCCCTAGCAACCATGAGAAAATGTGCCTTGATGAGTTCATGCCACTCTCCATTTAGCTCCTGCATCACGCCCATTTCTATTTCCATTGACGTCTTTCCCACCCAGGTCACATGACCAGCTATCTTGATGTCGCGATCGGCCACAAATTCTTCATGCTTCAGATCTAAAAGCAGGCAGAATTTCAAATTACGAAAATGGGAAAATTGTAAGTATCAGTGCAGTAATAATTTAATAAATTCAAACTTTTCCCTTTTTCCTACATTTATCGTTCTTATTTCCATAATAACTTACAAACTGAAATGAACTCAACTAACCTTGTATAACTTTTGCATTTTCTCTTGCAGATTTAACTCACAAAATTTAATTGTTTTAGGAAATTTACTCAAATCTTGTTCGTATTGAAAGAACATTTCTGTTTATAAATTACTTCATGTGCATAATCAGCTGCCTTTTCTTGAATTCAGATCCTTACCAAAATCTCTTCATCTTTTTGTTTTTATTTTATCCCCCAATAGTGTCTAATCTTCATCTTTTTGTTTTTATTTTATCCCCCAATAGTGTCTAATCTTCATCTTTTTGTTTTTATTTTATCCCCCAATAGTGTCTAAAATTTACATAAAACAGCAAATGGCATAGACAACTCCTGGATAAAAAGTCAACTACTGGTCAACTTTTTGTCAATTACTCATGGTAGAAAAAGAATAAAATGTCTTAAAAGCTAGTCTGTTTAAGAATTAAAATACTCCCAGAAGAGTACAAATGACCAAAAGATAGAGAAAATGTCCATCATATTCACCTATTCTGTCCACCAGTGCCGTGACAATGACCAGCGGACTGACTTGACCATAAATCTCCGGGTTGTCATTGTGAGAGTAGCCTATCCAGACTGGAAGACAACATTTATATTTCAATTTTAGTCATACAAGTTAAACATACACTTTTTACAAGTATTACTTCATTCACCATTGATGGTGCTATCTCATTCCCTATGAAGTCTAGTTGCCTGGTGATGGTTGCCAGGTGAAAACCAGCTGCCTGGTGATTGTTGCCAGGTGATAATCAGTTGCCAGGATACAGTTGCCATGAATTACCTGCCATAGTGTCAAGGTCTTCCAATATCCTCCCAAATCTTACTCCTTTCAGCACTGTCATATAACGATCCCGTAGCTTGTGGTCCGTGCTCAGTGGAATGATGCATTCTCTGTAACTGTCCTTCATGCACCGTGTTTTTAATTCTGATTGGTCATTGACAAGAAGTGAAGAGAGTTTAAGGATGTCGAGGTTTTGTTGGTCACTGAAACTGAAAATAAGAATGAATATTTCTTTGTCCACTTTTCATGCATTGTGGCTGCAATTTTAACCAGTGAAGAAAATGCACAAGGAATGGGCTTTTTTTTTTTTTGAAGTCACTGTCCATGTTTCTCTGTCAACATCTTCTTAAAGTAGACAGCAAGGATGGCATACTTATATTTATGTCTAGTACCAAATACACCATTATGATGGGATCTGACCACCTTTATATTATTATAAATTGGACAGCCTTATTATTACTTTTTTCCCTGTAATAACTTGGTATAAGAACACCTGTCCAAGTTGTCTCTTGTTTCAAGATAATTAACAATATGAGAGTTGTATTTAGTACTGCTTTCCACTTACCTGGATATTTTTGTTGCACCCACAATTGATTGTAACTCTTTCCGCACTGCAAAAAAATCAATGCAAGTGTCAAATGGACAGTAATGGAACAATCAAAGATTTATTTGAATCCACAGAATTTTAAAATGCTCACACAAATGAATGACTTTTTTCTTATTTAGTTTATGTTGTAATGCACAAACAGGTAGCAAAATAATAAATTTACAATAAAATGAATAAATAAATGTCAAAACAAATTAAATTCATTTCACAAAGTTGACAGACAGTAAAATCTTATCTGCTTCTAGTACAATTGTCAAGTTAACTTCAGTTTTCTTTTTCCTCCGTAATTTCACTTTTTTGGCTACATTTACAATAAACAATTTTCAAACATTTTTCAGAGATATATTACCGACTTGATATGTATTAATTCATACCTTCTTTTGGCTTTGGAATAGCTTTTTTGGTAACACACATTGTACGTCTTGTAAATATGAGACTTGCATTGGAATTACTTGTACAGAGAGGTCTCAGCAATCTAAAAATAATAATAATAAAATAAAATAAAAAATGTGAATTTCACAATTATTAGAGGCAACCATAACTTTCATATGTTAGCACAGCAGTACATATCAGAGATGGTATATATAAAAAAGTCCTAACAAATGAATTTTCCATTCTACTTGCAGGTGTGAATATGATGTGCATATTTTATTTTTCACTTTGGGTCAATTTTACTATGGAGAGTTCTGTTTTGTTCACTAGAGCAAGCAGCAAAATTATTTAGAGGGGGACAATGTGACCAGACCCTCTCCCAAAACACACACACACACACACACACACACACACACACACACACACACACACACACAAAAGCATCACCACCATCATCACAAAATAAATAAACGACAAGTATGCTACTACTAGTAAAAAATAAAAATAATAATGATAATAATAAATAAGCACTAGACTGCCGGATATGTGATCTTTGGAATAACTGGGTTATTAGATTGAAGCTGTCAGTTTCTTTCATTCACAAAATAACCCATATCATGACGATGGATAAAGGACAGAAACAGCAGCTTGCTGAATGAAACTTATTCAGTGACTGAATGAAGGAAAAATACTGGTACATTGTACCAGAAGAAAAATATCTCACTGAAATGATTAAATTCACACATTTTACGACAACATTGTCACTAAAATTGTTTCAGGGTAATGGAACCTCCTATATTCAGCTTAATCCTTTCAATTGAAAGAAAATCATTGGCCTTGATCACATTGTGAAAGCAGAGGAAGACACAAACCTGACAACCGCTCTGGGCGCAGACATCTTGGGTATTTGTTTTCAACTAAGGTCAAGGCCGAAACCTCGTTCGGGAATTCAAGATGTCTGCGCCCATAAAATAGAAATGTGATCGAGGTTTTGCACAATTTATTTGACATTTGTCATCAATTAAGATAGTGGTTAAATGTCAGTTTTATTTTTAGTCAACTATCACACAAGATGCATTGGATTATAAATAGAAAAACTCGCCTGAGGACTTTTATCAGGTGTAAGAAACATTTGGAGTTCGTTTTGCAAAACTCGCCGAAGAGCTTCGTTCATGTCAGTCGTTTCTTCAGCTCGCGAGCTGGCTTTGGCTCTCAGGGAGAAACTACAAAGCCGTATTTCATCACCACTCCCATTTTCTACGTAAATGCAGGTTTGTTATCGAAGGAGGTTTTATTTTGCAGTGATTTGGTCCTTTCAGGTTTTGATCATTTCAAATTTGCTCCTAAGCAAAATCATAAATAAATAAATAAATTCATTTGTAAATAAGTGAAAATTATAAGTTGCTCTCAGTATAGAATTGATATATAAATAAGTAAATCCAAATTAAAAAAAACTTTTCATTGCATAAATAAATAAGTAAAAATAAATTATTATATAAATGAAAAGATAAACAAAAAAATAAAAATAAATAAATGAATAAACTAGTCTATGATACACTGCTGGCTTCAACCAGAAGTTGATGGTGTTATTGGTAGTAATCTTTTTCAGAGCCACACATAGGTCACATGTACACAGCCTGTTTGGCTGATGCTATTCAGAGGTTTCAGCAACTTCAGGGCAGAGACACCATATTCTGCACAGGGACAGATGAACATGGGCTCAAGGTAGGTGTATCTCCACTTAAGATGGGTCTGCCTAACCTAATTCAACTGTCTGAGCTATGAATATATCTCAACATGGGAAGCCAGTTTGACAGATGCAGTTTATCATCAATTAGTTATCTATTTAATTTTATTTTATTATTATTTCAAGGCATATGACTTTGTAATAGACCTGATTAAGAAGAATTTCAGTCATGTGTATAATGCTTTACTAGTAAATGACCTATGGTTGTTTTTTTTTACATCTTTAAGGTTCAACAAGCTGCTGAAAAACACAAAGTGCACCCAAAGGCATTTTGTGATAGAGTATCAGGAACTTTCAAGGTAGTATCTCGTGAAATGTGTTTATAACTGTGAACCTTATTTTTTGTTTAAAAAACAAACATAATTTAAGTTCAACATAAGGAGGTTCAAAATCAGAACAGATAAATCTTCAAAGCTCATTTTTATACAGTGTTTTGCATGAATGACTTAATTAGTGAGGGAATGAGGTAAAAAAAAATTAAAGGTTATATATATATATAGCATTAAGACAAGAATGAATATTTTGTACCAGATTTATGGATGATGAAGGCATACAGTACTTTGTGTTGAGAAATTTTGAAAATATACCATGAAATGAAAATTTTAACTAGAATGTTTTTTTATTCTCAGGTTTTGTTTGGGAAATGCAATGTGGACTATACTGACTTCATAAGGACAACTGAAGAAAGACATAAAAGAGCAGTTAATGAATTCTGGGTATGTGGAAAACTATTAGGAATTACAGACACATACTTGCCCTGGTGCAAATATTACACAAGTTCTTTAAATTAAAAAATTGCTTATTACTTGTACCTTCACGTAAAATATTTCCTCTGGTATTGCTCAGAATATTTAGGCACTAAAATAAGTTAAATTTTTTATAACTGTTACCATTTGTGCCAAGAATTAAAATAATTTTCTGAGTCAATTACTAAGCTGCGAGGCATAAAATACTGTTTAATATAATTTTCATGGACATTTTATCATTATTCCTTTTATCACCAAGTTATCCAAAAGTAAGGAGAAAACCATGATCTCCCAACCTGTTTACTAGGTCTAGATTTCTGATATGGAACACCAAGTAGTACAAAGCACAAAACAGTTTTACAAGTTATAAAATTCTAAACTTTTACTGTCATGAGTGAAATTCAGTCTTTATCCCTGTTACAAGATTGAGTGACTCAAAAACTAGAAACTTTCGAACCCAAAAACAGGTTTTGAATATGATGGTATGCCTTGGCTATCACAGGGATAATTATTGAAATTTCCAGGAAAATTAAAATTATGCAAAGGTCTGATGCTCACTATATGGCTTTAATACAAATGCTGTAGTTGTCCTTTCCAGAATGTTCTTGTTGCTAAAGGCTACATTTACAAAGGAAGTTATGAAGGATGGTACTCAGTGAACGATGAATGTTTTGTATCTGAAGCACAAGTGCAGGATGCTGCTGATGGCAGTGGAAAAGTAAGTTAAGTAGGATAAATTTGCCCAAATTTCATCCCACTTTCAGAGAGATTTTACTGTAAGTAACAAATCTTATACATGACAGCAGTTACCCGGTATAATAACTGAGGCATATTTCACTTTCAAACAGTTTTTTACTCATTTATTTTTTTTTTTAATCTTAAGTTGTTAACTTACTATATTTATGTCAATGATTTCAGGTGTCTATAGAATCTGGGCATCCAGTAGAATGGAACCAAGAGGAAAATTACATGTTTCGCCTGTCTCTGTTCAGATCCGAGTTAGATAAGTGGCTGGATGAAGAAGGTGAGGATTTGGCAAAATTGGGAAAAAATAATTTCTTGTTTTCTTGTACAAATTGACTTTTTAAAGACAAATATATCACACGTTAAAATGGAGTTATCACAAGTTTATATAAATGGTATGTTACTATTAATATATCTGTTCTTGTACTGGTATGTGTACTTTACATTTTTCATTTTCAGTGGTCCAGCCTTCAGTATATAAAGGTTTGGCCAAATCTTATCTGCAGAATCTCACAGACCTTTCAATATCTCGTGGGAGAGAGCGTCTATCGTGGGGCATACCTGTCCCGGGCGATGATACTCAGACTGTAAGTGTACATGTGCCCGTGCATGCATGTGTGTGTGTGTGTGTGTTGTGAGTATATGTGTCTTGTGTAAATATTAGTATAGGTTCTGTATATGTAGTGGTAGTGCAATTTTTCATTCAATTATTCAAGCTCAACTAATATATTTAACCTCATCATACAATTTTCTAAATGAAGTTTCTATCATAGTGTCTGAAAAAGGTTTTACCAAAGGTTCAAGAAGAATCATGTACTGATGATAGAGACTGTGTTATATTTTGTAGATATATGTCTGGCTTGATGCCTTGGTGAACTACCTGACAGTGGGCGGGTACCCAGAGCAGGGATTTCATTGGCCAGCAGACTGTCATGTGGTCGGAAAAGACATTCTGAAGTGAGTGCTGTGTAGATTGGTGATTAAGTCAAGTTAAAAGTATTAAATACTATAGGATACATATTTTCAGGACTATATTGTGTTTATAAATTATAACTGATGAATTTTTTTCCTTACAGGTTTCATGCCATTTACTGGCCAGCATTTTTGATGGCAGCTGGTCTGGACCCCCCAAGAAACATACTCTGCCACTCACACTGGCTACGAGACCAGAAGAAGGTGAATTGCCAATTTTGTTTTTTTAAATCATGTGAATCTTCTCGCTTAAATTGAAATGAATATCTTTGAAGGTTTCTTGTTAAGTTTTTCATGATACTTGTACTACAAAATCATACAAAGGTTAGTCGAATCAGTTTTGATTGAAAAAGATGACACAGATGCACAAACATGCATGCATGTGCGAATATGCACATACACATGCACCCGTTACAGGCAGCTTGAAGAAGACTGAACTTTGCACAAAAGCGGACTGAATACTTATTTCATGTCTCATTAGAGTCCTATACCAATGCACTGAAATTTTTTGTACTATCAGTTGTTTCAATATTTTTTTAAAAAGGTGTGTATGTCTCAAGTACTATAATAACAATCAGTTTGAAGTAGAGTAGACTTAAAAGTAAAAAAAAATGTTACTCTTGATCTTTAAAAGATATTGGCTTTCAGAGATGTAAAGTATTATTGAAACGTACGCGTTCCATACTGAAAATTAAGTTGATGTTTTATTCTTATTTTGAACCATTTCATCTTTCTAGATGTCCAAAAGTAAAGGCAATGTAGTTAACCCAATGGAGGTGATGGACCGAGTCACCCCCGAGGGTCTCAGGTATTTTCTGTTAAGGACAGGAATGTTGGAATGGGATGCTGGTGAGTAAAGAGTGACAGGAAAACGATGCCTCTTAGAACTGTATATATCCAAAAAATAATAAATAATCAAATGAAATAAAATTTTCTTGGAATTTTCTTTCCTAGAAAAGACTTTATGGTGGCATTAGATGTCTTCATCTTCAGGAAGGATATATTTACTTTGAAGATGAGAAATTTTAAAAAAAGTTAAATTTGTATAATAGGTTAATACCAGATTTCTTTTGTAATATTTTTGACATTTTACTTTTAGACTTCACAGATGAGCGCCTTATTGACGTTTTAAATAGTGAACTTGCCAATGTTCTTGGTAACATAGTCAGTAGAGTGACGGCAAAGAAGTTGAACCCAAAGCACTGTTACCCTCCTTTCATGCCAGAAGTCTGGGAAGAGTTTTGTCAGGAGGAAGATAGGGTTCTGCTGGAAAAACTAAAAGAGCTGCCAGGTAAATTTTTTTCTGTGAAATTTTTGCCTTTAATCCCCTCTTTAAATTAAAAATATTACTTGTGGAGGTAACAGTTTTAAATTTATTTTGGCATTCAAATTAAAAATTTTCAGAAATTTATAGTTATTGCTAATCTTCTTACTTATAAGTGTCAACAGAAAAATGTTTCTTTTAGATAACATTGTAATAATTTAGTTACCATCACTTGACTTTTTTGGTTTGTGCAGTTATAATGTTTAATCAATTCCATTCTATTGTTTTTAAAATAATTTGATTATGTGCACAGAATTTGACCTAAGCTGGCACTATTTCAGTCACTCTTGCATTGTCAATCACTTTGAAATTTTCAAATTAGTGACGACTCGAAAAAAAAAAAGGAAAAACATCCATGTATCTCTTCAAACAGGTCAAGCTACTCTTGACGATTGGTAATAAATTTTTTTGGACAATTGCAGGTTAAACTCAGAGTTCCTGAGACTCCTATTACGTATTGTTACTGCTCACTTCTTATGTTATCCTCAACTCTTCCATTCTTTTAGGTGAAGTTACCCAACATTACCAGAATTATCACGTCCCACGAGCGGCAGATGCCATTTCAGAGGTACTTCATCTTACAAATCAGTTTCTCGACCGAAATGCACCGTGGAAACTCATCAAAGACCCCACCAATGCTTGTCATGTGAGCAATATTCTTCACATCGCAACAGAGGCGTCACGTGTCAGTGCCATCTTGCTACAGCCGATTATCCCATGTTTAGCTGATCAACTTTTGACTTATTTAAATATCCCGCCCCGGGACAGAATGTGGGACAGCGTGGGGAAGACTGTCACAGACCAACGAGCTTTTACGTCTAAACAATATATCTTCTTTGAGAGGTTACAGTCTTGATGCATAGACAAAATTAAGAGGAAAATATACATTCAGGTTGGAATAAAATATCTTTCAAAGCAAGGGACATTCAGTAGTTATCCATTGTGATTTAATCAAAACATAAAAAACAAACTTGCATTTTTTTTAAATATCTCTATTTTGAGTTTAAAAATACACTTAAAATGTACAACAGTGATACACAATTATATTACATACTGTAACTATCAAAAAAAAAAAATTAAATATTAAGTCCAGCTAAAATTTCTATTAAAAAAGTCTGATACATCATACATATTAGACCTCAATGTTTGTGTTCGTTTACAGCAACTTTTTAAGTATGGCATAAACATTATTTTAAAAAATCACTTTCCTATTTGTAAATTTATAAACTAATTTTTTTTTATATTTTACTCTCCACAAGAACAAGTAAAAAAAAAAAAAATCAAATTTACACTGAAATGACTTACAACATTTACCACTAATGTTAACTTTAACATTGCAAATGTATCTAGGCAATTTATAATTTCACAATGACAAATGTATTCCTCGTAATCCTCAATTTTTTGCCTTTTGATTCGGAGAAATAAACTCACAGTGAAAATGAGCTGGTTTAAGCCTTGGCTAAGCACTAAAAATGTTTACAAAATGCTTTCTAAAATGGATTGTAAACACGCAAGGCAAAATGTTTTTAATGTTACAAAAGTAGTAAAAAAATCATTTATCATTGATGACAGAAAATAGTACACATTAAGCAACGCTTTACTCAGACTGAACTTTATACAATTTTGTTATCCACAGAAATTGAACTGGCTACAGACAAGGAGAAAAAATTTCCATCTTCAAAGTTCTCTGTTTTTAATCCTTTTTATTTTACAAAATCCAAAAACTTGCCAACTTTTCATAAAAAGGTAGAAATCTTCCACAAAACTGACAAAAATACCCGGTCAGGTCTCTGTATCTTGCACTTTCTGCCCAGCTTACATTAAACCAGCTGGGAGATCATCCTGTAAGAAAAACTTCAATATTAATTTATGTCTCAAATTTGAGCATTTGGATTAAATCAGGTTAATATTCAAGATTGTATTTCCCCTTGGAAAAGTAAATTTTTTTCTCCAGGAGAAAGAAAAAGTTGCATCAAGCAAACTGACCCTTGAAGATAAACAGATTTGGTTTTCAAGATGTCAAGTATTTTAAAGGTACTTTAATAAGATAAAAGAATATTTTCTTTAAATAGTCTCTTCACTGCTGTGTGATCCATTACTGAAAATTTCTTTAAAAAGTCAGCTAAGATCAGAGACAGAGTTATTTAAACTCCAATATTTCAGGGTCCATCAAATCACCTTCAGCCATGTTTACAGCTGCTCATGACAGACACCAAAATGTTGGAGTGAAGACAACTTAAATTCTACCGGTACTTTTCAAGAAACGACTTTTATACAACAGCTGATATCATGACAACACAACTGATGGAATTCTCTGAAAGACCTCTGGGTTTTAAATGAAAAAAAAAAATTACAGACTTCTTCCACCAAGTTTCTTACCGAACCAGTGTCAAACTGCGGAGATTCTTCCACCATGAGATTGGGGTCTATACGGCCACGAGAGGATCGAGTGGGCCTCTGCTGCTGCTGTTGCTGTGGGGATGGCTGTACTGGACTGGAGAAAGACCCAATACTGGTCTCTTCCTCTATTCTTGACCTGAGTGGAAAATAATGTGCAGTCTTAGGTACTTAGGTTCACAAAAATAAATAAAAAAAATCATAAATAAATTATGTGTGTGCATATGCATGCACCCCACCCCAGAAGAATAATGACAGTAAAACAATGAAAAATTGCAATCCCCCCCCCTTTCCCCTTCCATTGTTCAAATTTTCAATCATTGTTTTCAACAATATGCCCCCATTCTTTTTTGCACCCACTGTTTGGGCAGTAATCTAGTCACATCCTGAAGGGAACACAGCTATTTGTATCGAAACACGATCAATGATGAGTCAACTGCATTTGATAATGATCAAATGGTCTAGGACTGTAAAACTCATATGACTTTGTTGTTACTTAGCTCATGAAATTCAACTGACTTAACCATACCGAATTGCACCCAGTTTTTCATCTTAGTAGAGAGATAGGCTACTTACTGCTGTATACGTCTGCCGTAGTTGGCAGCATTCTGCCGGGACATTTCCATGTTCTGTCTCTGAGATCCCAGCCACGAGGCCTGGGACATCTGTGACTGGGACATCTGCGACTGGGACATCTGGGACATCTGGATGGAACTGGAGTAGATCGTGATAACAATTTTATCAAAATATGAATTAATAAGACATTTACTGTAAGGTTAGACAAGAATTAAACTGTGCCAGCATGGATAAAAATCTGACATGTGATACTGACATTTTAATGCAACTGAAAATTAATATAGAATATAATACAATTTTATAATATAATATTCGACTGATTTTAACTTGCTGTCGACTGGAGACGCTTTCACAGGATTTAAACCTCTTCTTATACTCCAAAACATTCTGGTGCCACTTATAAACCAGAATAAGTATCGAACATGATTAAAAAATAATTAAGCTGTGTATTTCTTCATATACTCACGATGCTTCAAAGTCTGACATGTCATCTTCTACCCGTCTCCTCTTGACGGCAGTGGAATGCATAGGTGGCTCCCCTAGTGGTCCAGGTGTGGCGGGCTCTTTGCTCAGCCATGCGTCATTGGTGCTGGCATCTCCACCTTGATGATATATTGAAATTTTCAGAAAATGATATAATTTAATATAATAATAAATAATTTAAAAATAATATTGATGCACATTTTGCACATACTTTATGAACAAAGATTATTTCATTATTTATCTTCTCTTCTCTTTGTAAATTCTGTGAGTATTAAACAATGAGCCGTTTGTATTATTTTTTAAAAATTTACTTTAATGCATCTACAAGGATTTATACATAAGCAGAATACTGATAAAAATAACTTTCCTTTCTTTAATTGTAAATGTTAAAGCAAAACTTTTTTTCAGTTAAGTTTACTGCACATCTATACCACATACCATCCATACCGACAACTTTGCGTTTACGTCCACCTTTGGGTCGACCAATCGTGTTCGCCCTGCCAGTGACAGAGGTTTTTTCCTCCGCGTCCTGAATGAGGCTGTTTCTGTACATGAGGAGAGGCTGCCAGTCCTCACTTCTGTTAGCCATCATTCCTTGTTTTAGATGTTTGTCCAGGAAGTTCACCCTGTGCAAAGAAAGTTGATGTGACACTCTGAACAATATAAAGGTAAAACGCTACATAAAAAGCTAGAAGACAAGTACTAAATTTTTATTTCATGCCATTTTCCTATTTATGCAGTGGCAGTGATGGAGCTTTTTTATTTTTTTGTGGAGAGCATTTCTTACTCTTTAACATAGTTTAAGCTAAAATAATATAAAAGTTAATCTGTCATTCATCTAAAATCATTTTTTCACACGTACCAATAAATACAATAAATTGCCTGAACCTGTTTAATTCATTCTTGAATTTCCTTAAAGAAAGTTATTTTCATTAAAATTTTTGAATAATAAAAAAGAACAAACCATGCAAACATAAATGACTTAAACATAGATATTCGCTGCTGTATACGTAGGTCCAGGTAGAAAATCAAAATTGAAAATATAAATCAATATAAAAAAATCTTACACCGCTTTCTTGTCCTGCCTCATCAGCTTGCTGGTGAATTCACAGAGGATTTCCAGGAATCCCAGGTTGGGTGGGGCTCCTTTGGGGTCATTGGGGTTCTCTAGGGGGGTCAAACTGAAGATGATGCCTTCCCTGGATAGAAAACAAAGTATTCGTTTTGAAAAATAAACCTTATGGTGAAACTTCAAATTCAACAATATCCCGAGGGACACAACGCGAGGACTGCATATTCAAGTTATCCTCATTAGGGATTCTTTACTTCTATTCTTTAGATTAATCCTGCTTCATCTAACACACCAAGCTTTCCCAAAGATTCTAATAGATAAATTTCAATGACGACGGTAGTAAAAATTTGGCATTAAAATAAGAGTTTAAGTCCAAGCAGAAAACTGACACTGGGAGCTTTTTAGACCTTCTTAATGTAAAGGCCAAACGTAAGATTCTTCCACCCCTACTAGACCTCTTGTCTATATGATATTAAGAGAAACAAGGTTGTGCAGCAGAGGGTAATATAATTTACAAGTTGGCATGACAACCAGCCCCTAGTTTGCAAAAGTGTTTTTTTTTTTTTTCTTAAGAAAGAAATAGGCCAATGTTTTACTGTCACAAAGTTCACAATTTTGGTGAAAACAAATATAAAAAAAGGAAGAAAACTAACGTGTGCATGGCAGCCACTGCATCTCTATTTTTCACCTGGTCTAGACCAAAAGACAGATTAAATCTGCGGGCAAGTTCCTGAAATAAAACAGAAATTAATATTTACAAAATAAGCATATACAAGCTTAAGTAAGAAAGGCTGATATTTTTAATTATATATATTTAAAACTGTTTATAATGATTTTCTTTAACTTGTATTTCGCATTGTGATAGTCTATTGAACAAATCTGGATTTATGACTTTAAAAAATAATTTTTAACATCATCATTATCAACTTAATCATGAAACAGTGCATTGCTTCTGAAGAGATCTTTTCTAACCTATGAAAATGTCAAGCCTTACACTGAATAAAAACATATTTACACTCTTTAAAAAAATTAATTAACTTTTTTAACAATCTGAAAACAAGAGGCTAAGAAAAGCCTAAATCACCATACTCACCTTAATGTTATGGAAACTGTCAGAAGTCCTATCTACAGGCCCTTGTGCCTGAAGCTCCTTGAAGAGCTGGGTTAAACTACAGGCCAGTGTCTTAGCTGTGAGGACTTTGTTGATCTCTCTGGCTTTACCCAACGTGGTCTTGATGATGTCGCCGTAGTCATTGTAAAACTGGAAGATGGAGCAGAAGTTTCATGAAAATCAAAGAAACTTATTCCTTGGCACATTATTCAGTTAAAACATCCAGCATACAAGGAGTTGATAAATATGATCATGTGTTTATTGTTTTAGACATATACCCACATGCTTACAATCCAAACTGACAAAAATGAATTAATTTTAATTTTTATTAAAATACATCTACTTCCTCCTGCACTACCTGAAGTTTTGTTCTCTAGCATTCAGTGAAAAGTTCTGTGTGTCAGCACTGGCACAATTACCTTCATGTAATGTTTGAACATGTCAGCCGCCATTTTGATTCCTACCACATTGTACACCACCAATTTGCAGAAAGAGGCCAGGAGGTTTCTGCGAGTGTGCAGTTCTTCGATTTTTACATTTTCATCTGCCTCTTCTGAAAAGACAAAAATTTCCAAATTTCATCATCTCTCTTTCAAAAAAATACACAAGTTGAAAAGTTAACACGCCCCTTATATCTTTACTGATTCAGAAACACAAATTCAACCAATTCAAAATCATTCAAAAAACATTTTAAGCAGCGTTTTATGAACTATAATCTCCCCTCAAAGTTTTCAGTCCTCTCCACCTTTTTTTCATCTGACTAAAAGTTCATAGTGGGTCCAAGAAACATTACACCTGAAGGTTTCAATCAATCAATCAATTAATAAAGAAAATCATTTATGAAAAAAAATTAAAAAACTCACCATCTTCATCCTCAACAAACACCTTATCAGAGAGGTATCCACTGAGCTGTGCCTGCAGGTTTCTGTCAGGCTCATAAACCAGAGGTTTCATGACAGGGTTGGTGCCCAGCTGACGACTTAGGATCAGGAGGAGGTCACAGATGGTAATGTAGCTCTGAAATTATTTATTTATTTATTTTATTTTTATTTAACAATTCTAGGAGTATAACATACAGCACATTTTTCAATATATTTTTGTGACCAGTTAAGTTTAAATGCTGACATAACTCTAAATGTGTCCTTTATTTTCTTTTCAAAGTCTGTAAAATTACTGTGTAAAAATTAGTGTAAAAGCAGCTATTTTGCAACCAGTAACATATCCAAGCTTATTTTAAATAAAATACCTCAAAAGCGAGGAAAATTTATTGAATGACACTTTTCACATAAAAACCTTACCTCCTCATTGACCTTTTCTTGCTGATGGTACATCAGGTCATGAAGTAACTTCATGAAATCACTGACACGTTTCTTCAACTGCTTCATGGCATCCTTAAAGGTGAGACAGAATGATGAAATTAAGTTTGGGCTGGTGTATATGCACAGCTGTGTGTGTGTGTGTGTGTGTGCATGTGGTGGTGGTGGGGGGGGGGAGGGGGGGTTACAGTTTTAGCAAGAAAATAACTAGCAGTTATGTGCGCAAATTTCATTCCCATAAATGAGCAATTTTCTAAGCTTACCCCATTTCTTATCTTTAGTTATTTATTAAATGTTATTTAAATGTCATGTTTTTCTTTTATTACAAATTATATATTATACTTCACACAAACCCAGTTTATCTTTGTAAAACATTTACTTGAAAGTTATGAGTACAGACATAACACTTACTTTGTCAGGATTATTTTCATCTAATTTCTGCAGACTCCACATCAGGCACACAGAACAACTGGAGATTGCTTTACAGACAATCTAGAAGAAAACACAAACATTGATCTTTAAATTCTCATATCAATTGCTGTATTAAATCTGATAAAGAAGAGAACACCACTGCTGATATATTAAAACACAACAATTTCTCTGAACCCAACTTTTTTTTTCATTTCTGCATTAGGTAGAATGATTAATGAAAATGAAAAGCTGTTTCTATAGGCCATTGCAAAATCCTCAAAAAGTTTTTTCACAACTTTATCTTGCTGTATTTTTTGTAGTAATCTTTCATTTTTGGAAGTCAGATTCAACAACAACAACAACAACAACAACAACAACAAAAAAAAAAAAAAAAAAAAAAAAAAAAAAAAAAAAAAAAAAAAAAAAAAAAAAAAAAAAAAAAAAAAAAGTCATTTTCTTCATCAAGACTCCGTGAATATCAGCTATGTAATTGTATAATTCCATAACAACTGTAGGTATAAAATCATAGCACTTACTTCTGCAGGAATATTAGGGTTGTCGTTTCCAGCCTTCACAATCTGGAACAGCAAGTCCCACAGGTTCCACCCTGTCATGTCATGGCAGCTGGTGATATAAAGGAATAAATAATTCATTAAAAATAAATAAAGAAATCTTAAGTTTATCCTCATTAAAGATATCCATATATCCGAATCCCAGTATGCTCAGTTTATAGGTATTACTTGAATGTTTATCTCTGACATGCTAATCCATAACATGTTTATCTCCAATATGCTTAAACTTCTGTAAACTAAATGTAACAGATTTTCATCATTAGCCTCTGAATCATTGTCAAGTCATTGCACTTTATGATAACAATTAAATTCTACAACTTCAAGCATTAGTACACAGCATTTGCTTCACAACCACCTTACAATGAAAGTATGGAATACTATGTCCCATCACAAATTTTTTGTATCATCATCTATGATATTCACCTGTAGAAAGCATAGATTCTCTTCAAACCTGCAGCCAAGGAATATTCTTCATCTTCATCTGGTTCATCACCCTGCAAGAGAAACAGTACATATTTCCGAATAACATCACTGATACCGGAATTTTCTTTACAAAGGCTTCACTTACAAGCTTTGCATCTTTTTGAAATAAAAGTTAAATAATAATAATAATACAAAGCAGATAATTTTAATGAATCAGATAAAGAATTTTAAAATTTCAAATGCCATTTCAAATATAATGTTATTTTAAAACAGCATTGCGTGCGTGTGTGCTTGCGTGTGTGTGTGATTCAATTATTTGTACCACCAAAAGACAAACTCAAAAATCCTTTTGATGTTGCATTTAACTTTATATTTCTACCTGTTGAAAGTAATCTTGATGAGCTCCCTTGAATTTCTCCACCAGAGCGTCTAGCAGTGTGCTCCTGGCTACGTCACACTTCCCGGCTATGGCAAACTCCTCACTGCAGAAACACTCCAGAATCTTAGAGCAGTTCTCCAAAACTTCAGAGTCTGTGTGGCGGTCGATGATTTCACGGATGTGGTTCAACAACAGGTCCAGACACTGCAGATAAAGAGTAGGATTTGATAATAATACGTATTAAAATATGCTTAGAGGAATTCCTCTGAACTTCAAGGAAACTGTAGATTTTTGCAATGTCACATATATGGTTAAATAAAGGCAAATTTTATTGTTCATTGGGCATAATAATAATAATAATAATAATAATAATAATAATAATAATAATAATAATAATAATATTCTCTGAAATTTTAGCAATCTTTACTCTATTATCAACTTCACAGTAAAGACTATCCGAAACCATAAAAAGGTGAAGACTTATAAACCTATTTCAAGCTATTAATTTCCAATTTTTATTGCCACCATGGCATTCCCCATTTCCAAACTAGTAGATGAAATTTCTCTTTAATTACCTTCTCCTGTCTGCTAGTGGTGTAGATCTCCAGGTCAAAGTGGAGAGGAATCTGGAGCAGGTTGGCCAGCTTCTCTGCATCAGCACCGTACTGGGGGGAAAGTAAAGTTTATTTACAATTACTTTTAAAAATTGTAAATTATGAAATAAGAAGTAAAATCAATCTGCAAAAAAATCAATTTACTTTTATCATCTGTTATCCACTTTTGTTTCTACCAATTTTGATTCAACATAGGATAATGTGCACCTGCTTTTATTCCATTATATTATTCTATTCATTTTTTTTTCATAAAAACATAATCCTTGAAATGGCCTGTTAGTATTTTGTATTTAGAAAAAAATGTCCGCTTGAAAATAGAAATTTCCATTTGAGAGAGAGAGAGAGAGAGAGAGAAACAAATCACTTGGGTGCCATACCTTTGCTAACAGCTGTGGTAGAAACACAATGAAGTGTTCTGTCAGTTTGGTTCTGTCCTCCAGAATTTGTTTGTTCTCTTTAGTGGACAGCTGGAAACAAAATACCATTGTGGATAACACAAATACAGACATAAAACAAAACAAAACAAAACAAAAAAAAAACAATGACATCTAAACACTAACATTCCATGTTTTATGCCATTTCTAATCAACTAGTTAGGCCCTATTAGGCAAAATGTTGTGTCTGTGCATAAAAATGAAATATGAACAGATATTTCTTGCCTTCTTTCTGTGTTTTTTTTTTTCTCGGTCTTTTTCACCAAACCTCATTTGAACAATTATGCTGTTATGCTTGCACGGAAAATGTATAGGTTATTTATAAGCAGCACCTGGGTTATAAGCTCTGTGTATTTTGTGTGTTTTCAGATTGTGAAATACTTTTATATGTTTATGTTGCCACACGTTCACGGAACAAAACTACTACTACTACTACAGTACTATATGATTTGACCTTTACAAACAGGAAAGATTGAATAGTAGGTCAAGTTTACAACTAGAAATTTGAAGAAAGCGAAGTGTAGAAGCTTTTTTTAAATCTATTTACTTGATATTATTTATTTTTAATTATTTTAGTTAGTTATAATTTTGACATTAATTATCTTTGTTGATTGACCGATAAATTTGATTTATCCCTTCGCATGTGGACTGTGCTACTTGTATTGAATAAAAACTAGTAACAAAACATTACATGTAAAGGCACCTACAAGTCATCAGATTCATGTGTTTACATTTTGTCCTTTCACACAGAAAGGACAGAAAAAAACTTTGTTGTTTAAATGTTTAATACACAATTATATTACTTGAAATAACTTGAATGTACTTGTTATATCCAATGTAACGCTCTAAAACAAGTGCATAAATTAGGCACTAACTAGGTACAAATATTCAATTCAATTCAAAACCATTAAAAACTGGAACAACACTGCTCTTTAGAATTTTTGATTACATATTCATTAACAAAAATCTTGGTATTTTGGCTTTTTAAGTTAAAACAACTTTTTCGCCATGCCTTATTATATAAGAGACCATTAAAAGAAAACCATGACAAGAACATTTCACACAAAATACAACATCCAGGACCATCTAATATGATAACCCACTTTTACACATTGAGAAAGGCATCAGATATCTTACCACGCGTAGTCCATAGTTTTTCTCTCACCCTTTCTGCTTACCTTTTTGTTAGGTCCTCTGCCTACAGGTGATTCCCCAGTGGCAGCCTGGCGTACGCAGCACACCATTATCTCTATGAGACAACTCTCCTGACGATCATCCAGAGCTGGAAGACAGAACAGACTTAGTGTCTGATTTCTTTCAGTATCTGATTCCCTTAATGTGTATTAATTTTGTTTTTAGACATTTCTAATTTTTCTGTAACTTTGAGAGTACTGGAACATCTTTCACTGTTCATAAATATCCTAGTGCCTAAATATCCTAGTATCTCCTCACCTCTCCCTCAAATCCTATGCCCCCCCCCCCCCCCGAGTACATATTATAATACTCTAAATATATCATACTCCCTCACCTTCCTCTCCTCTAATCTCAACCCCCCCCTAAATACACATAATAATATTTATTTATTAAAATATTTCTCCTACTCCCTCACCTTCCTCCTCTCTCCTCTAATCTCTCTCTCCTCCCCCCATCTCACCCCGCAGAATACACATAATAATATTTATTTATTTAAATATTTCTCATACTCCCTCACCTTCCTCCCCTCTCCCTGGTTCTTCCAGTAACAGGTCAGTCATACACTCCCAGTCCTTCATCATCTGATTGACCTCCCACAGGCTGTCTACAAGGTAGGCACCGTGTTCATGGAGCTGGAGTAAAACATATTTAAAGACTATACTAAAAGAATTTGTCCAAGAGCCAGGCACCATGTTTATGGAGCTGGAATTTAATTATTTTTGAGTTAACAGATTATGCTGTAAGATGGTGCCCACAAGATACACATATTCATACAAAAGTAGGTGGGTCGTTGAACATAGAACAATCTTAAAACAGAAAGTGTATAAAAGATGAAACATGCAAATTTTGGATATTTGATGCTCACTTAGCCAAAAGAAATTATTTACAAGTCTCTCTCTCTCTCTCTCTCTCAACTCCATACCATCAACATAATCAAAATAATAAAACTAACAAGCATATAAACATGAGCTACATTTGTTGAAGTAGAAGAATATTTTATTTCTTTGGTCAGATTTAAATGTCTTTAGCATATTGTTCCAATCTATCAGGAGTTGAGAAGCTTACATACCTCACTCTCTATAAAAAACTGCACCAAGTCTCGAATCAGTGGGGTATTTTCACTCCTCTTTTTCCCTCTCTTTGTTTTCAAACTCTTTGTTGCATCGTCATCGCGCTGGAAGAGCTTCGCATTCAGGAACTCCCCTGCTGCCTGTGCCACAGCACGATGAGAGGAGTAGACCAACTCGTACACATTCTCGCAGTCTTTGTCTGACAAAACTGACTCATGTGCTCTGGAAAACAATTTAATAAAGAATATTATTTTATGCACATCATAAATGATTTATCTCCTGCCTCTGCGGATTAAATATTTAATAATAAAGTTTTTTTTAATACAGATTAGTCTTATGTAAAATAATAATATGCAGTTTTATAGGATTTCAGAAATAAGAAAAACTAAGAATATATCAAATTCACCACCTGAAGTTAAACTTACTTTAAAATACTGATGACTAGCCTGACTGCACCGACTGCCACATCATATTCCTTGTCCAAGGTCATTTCAACAATACGATCCTGCAGGGGAAACATGTGGGTTGTGTTTCAAAAAGGAACCACACAAAAAGGCACCAATAATTCTCATTATCCATATGATATTTTGGGTTTTAAAAATATTGGATGACACCATTATTTTGTGTAAACTTTTGCATCATGTGCTGCAAAGCTTCCCCTCCTCCTCTCATTAATTTGTTAGCCATCACAGATTCCATTAATTTCTTTAATTGAACCACCAGAATCCTCCCCCCTTACCACCCTTCCAGTCCCCTCCCAATGTTTCCCTTCAACACAAGTTCCCTTACCTTGAACCTATTGGTGAACAGCTCCATCTTGTGGGCAAAGGTGTTGGTCTCATAAAGAGGCTGCAGTGTCTTAAAACAGTCCGATCGCACTTGACCAACCTGAATATGAAAACCTAACATTACTGACATATTTGAACAAATGACATTTTATTTTTAATATCATTCTAAAACCACAAAGGGTGCAACTTCAAACAAAATATCAATGTGTTAGTGTTATCTATCTGAAATAATTGTATTGTTGCAACAACAGCACCTTATCATAGAGCGTCCAACCGACATATTTCAGGTAACTGTCGTCCAGGAACATGTTGGGATATTTCCTCATCCAGACTCCGATCTCCTGCATGCAGATCGTTCTGATCTCTGGCTGAGTGTCTCTGGAATATGGATATAAAACAGGAATGAAAAATAAACAAAAATAATGTGTATTCCAAATTTCCATCCGTTATCTGTTTAAATGTACATAAACATCTGTTTTGTATTTTTACCCCTGGGACCAACAGAGATAAAATGTTGACATCTTTGATGGTTTCTGATTGTTACTGGATTATACAAACAGTTATTTACAGATTCTGATAAAATTTTCAGGATAGACAGTTATTCAGGGAGGAAAGAAGCTGTAACAATTTCACCTGAATCCAGGTCTCACAATATTTTCAAAATGATTTTTTTTACCTTTTCCTTGTCATAAAATCTGTCCTCCTTGAGTGTCTTGTATTAATTAATATTGTAAAAACTGCTACTTCTCACCTGTATCTGTGTACAAACACTCCCTTGAATATATAGGTCAGCATGTTTCTGATCTCTTCCTGATTCTCTTCAAGCTGGAATAAACACAGTACATCATTTAAGTTTGATCTGTTCAAAATGCAACTTTCTCATTCTGATTTCTCTGATTCCATGCTAAAAACATTTAAATATCTCATAAAGTTAGGTTTCTTTAAATCTCAACTTGCGTTCTATAAAGAATTCAACTTGAATTTCTAAAATGAAGAAATAAAATAAAATAAAATATTTTCATAAAGAAAAAACTTTGAAGTAATTAATTCTTCTTCCAACTGGAAAAACAGGATATGTAACAAACCGCAGACCATGTCTTACCTCTGTTCTCTTGCTCATCAAGACTTGCAGCCTCTCTGCAGACTGCTTCTGTTTGTTCTTCTGTCGCTCTGTCTCATACTGTTTCTGTGCGTTGTCGAGATTGATGCTCAGGTTGAGAGCAACATCCACCAGCGCAGTCATGAGTTTCATAGCTGAAATGTAAAATTATATTGTCAAATTATTTACTGGCCTCTCAATGTCTTAGTCGCTCAATGGCTGTAGGTCAGACTGTAGGCATTTTAGAAATGTGAAGTTCTTTTGTCAGTAGCTTGGGAAACTGATATTAACTAATAGTTTACCAGCCATTGAGAGGCCAGTAACCATTCAAATTACATAGCTAATAAAACTTTTGGTAGTTTTGATATTAAGTTAATTTGAAAACCTTAATTAGAAAAGAGCATAAAAAGTGTGAAAAGGAAATGTTTTCCAACCGATTTCTTTTTTACCTGCATTAAAAGAATAAGCTCTGAACCTATTCAAGTCTGCTTTCACTATTATAATAATTGTATATAAAGTAATATCTATTATTTATATAATTGTTATTCTATCAATGTTTTAATGTTGTAAAAGCAACGCATATACATATGAAGTATGGCCTTAGACTTGTTAACTTCTTGTTAGTCCCCCCAAAAAACTCATTATTCAACATTATGAAAAAAAAATATAATCTCAAAAATAAAATAAAATATTTCCCTACTCACATGCCAAAGTGCTGGTATGTCTAAATGCCCTGACCTGAGAGTCAGTGAGCCCAGTGAGGAGAGAGATGAGGTTGTCCATCATGTACTGGTCATATATGATGCTGTACTGGCATTGTCTGACCAGTACCTGGACAAACTCACAGAAATTGGTCTTAAACTTCTTCCACTGCTGGCCAGTCATGATTAAGGGATAGTCCCCACTTTCCTGAGGGATGAGATATTTATTCATTACCACTATGAAACAACATTATCAAGCATTAGAGATCAGATGTTCAAATTTTTTGTCCACTGTATCAAAACAACAATAAATATAATAAATAAATGAACAAAATATTATCTCTTGTTTCTCTTTTTTGTCAATTTTGTCAAATTTGTCAATTCATCATCTTCTGGACAAATGAGATTTTAAAAAAATATTTTTCTAAAAACTGTTACTTACCAACATCAAAATCCAGAATGACAAATAAATAAACAAAAATAAATTATAGAAAATAACAATAACCTCATCAAATTCCTCTGTCATTTTCCGAATGATCTCAGCATGTTCCATGGTCTCATACATCTGTTGTGATATCTTGCCACGGCAACCCGAGCACTGGATAAAGAACTGGATCAACTGGAGCAATGCCTGGTCACGCTCTTGTTTGTATGACTCTATCCAGTCATCAACTATACTCTGTAAAATATGTATTCATTGAAAATATGTCTAAAATATTTATATTTTGGATGAGAGTATTTTTCACAGCAACTCTTGTTTGTAGGATTAACTACTTATCTTCTATGCTCTATAAAATATATTTTTAACCATTGAAAATATGTCTTAACATTTTCATTTTGAAAGAGAACTTTCTCAATTGCCAATTATTTGGAGGAATTGTGAAAGCCATCTAGTATAATCAACAACATTTTTTCCCCTTTACAAGTCTATGAGTTTCTTGTTTCTAGTTCTTGAGTAAGTCATGTAACAGTGTAAAAGAAAAATTGAGAACAGGTTAATAAATCAAAATGGCAATTAATGGCATTTTTCTCTATGGTTTTCTTGAGGGCATACATTGGTGATTACGGCATAAGTTCAAAAATATTTCCTGGAAAATTTTTCATCGAGCTAAATTAAGTGCTTCGTATGCCTTAAGTGTGTACCTCATAAGAGAACAAAAGTCTCACCTGGAGTGCAACTTTGCCAGTCTTCACAATCTCAAACAAAGAGCCCTCCGTGTCTTCCCTCTCCTCCTTCTTCCTTCCTTTCCCCCCTCCAGCTCCGCCCCCTCTCTTAGGCCTCTTGATACCCTGGTGAGAGAGAGAGAAAGAAACAAGTTCAAATTCCCATATCAATATGAGATTCTGATATATCATGGAAGCAGATACAAATAAAATTCTGAAATGAATCTGGCTTGCACTGGGTATGAAACTTGGAGAAACTATATCTTTGCCTTCAGTTATATTCATTTCATTTCTATTCTTTCCTAACTAATTAAACAAGGCAGCAAAGCTGTCAAATGTACAGACAAAAAGCAGGAAATAACTATGCACAAAATAGGCTACTGTCAATTCTGATGCAAAAGTACATTATGTTAAACTGTAAATTCAACATCAATTTTTAATTATGCTCAACAGGAAATACCAATGAAAGTAAAATGTGTAACAAGCATAAGGCTTCAGGCCCATGAGAGTTCAAGTTCACACTTTGAAAATGTATAACTTCCAGAAAAAGAAGCCAATTAGACTGCTTTTCCAACTCAGGCTGCATGCCGATTTTCGAACTTGACCTCCGTTTTAGTAAGATCGATTACTCCTGAGAGTTTCACGACAACAGGCCTATCGGTTTTCCTTGAAATGTGTTTACAGTGTTGCATATATGTTGAAAAGTGAAAGAAAAAAGCATAACTTCTACAATAATGGCCCGATCATCCTG